CTATGTACAACACAGGAAATCCAATGGAAGAAACTCATTTAATTCCACATTTGAAGAGGATGAAGAAGAACCATACAGAAACAACACAAAACAAATAGAGAGCCATTGCATATCAAGAAATTGGAATCTATACCACTGTTAACTGCAGACCTAAAAGTCCTTCACATCCTCATAGGTAAGTCTTCATCATCTGGCCAGATTGAAACTTACATTTACACCAAACACTGAAATGAAACTCCACAAGAAACGTGAACCACAACAAAATCTTACGATTCAGTCCAAAACTTGTAGAAAAAGAAGAATCTATAAATTAAAAAGGAGAAATCAGTCGTTCATAAGAATCCTTTACAATGCTTTATGCATATGTAATCAATCAGTTGCACCACTTTCTAACCGTACAACAATAACACACAGAGGAACACTTGCAACACAACCAAGTTTCCTGATAGAATTAGTAGGTGGAAATTGGCAGAAATGAGAAGTTCACCCCATCTGCAAATACAACACATTATTGTTACACAAACATAACATAATTTGGTATATAAAAAGATAGATGGAAAAGGTAAAATGCTAGAATGAGTGGTTATAACATCAACTAGAATTCGTGGTTGTGCACCACAAGGTAAGAGGTTCACCCCTCTTAGCTATCAACCACGAAGAAACCGAAGCCACCTAGATGAGAAGAAGTACAAGTCACTAGAGAAGAACCATGACGTCAAATCGAGGAGCAACCACAACAAACACAACAAAGCAATCAACAGAGACGATTACAGACTATGATGGACCATCCCCGCAAGAAGAAACTTTCAAAGTACAACTACCATATGTTCGTCTGTTATGCTACCGCCTTACTAGATTGAGTTCCGGGGGGATTTCTATTGTAGATTGCTGTGATGGAAGTGATGAATATGGCAGCGGAGTCAACTGCCACAACACATGCATCAGGGGGTGAGGAAGCTTGGAGTACAAGTCTAGAAAGTGGAAACTATCTCTCCTACCTGGATGCTAAAAGAGCCAAAGATGCAAAATCAAAAGAATGGACTCACAGTGGTGGTTTGGAGGAACTATTGCTAGAAGTTGCATGTAACCTAATATGTGAGCAATATAGTGTTGGTTAGTGGCAGTGCAGCAGTGATGCTTGGAGTTGAAGTAGCATATTGTAAAACATGGCTACATTTGGTAAAATCCCTTTTCAGGGTTGAAGATGTTACTACTCTTGCAAGGGTTTCAGGTTGCTTCGGTGGTGATCTTGAATTTATTAAAGAGGCGCATTAAAGCTAAGAAAATGTGTCATGAACGATATGTTGCTTCCCTTTCCTCTTGGCAAAGCTATATTATGCAACTACGTACCTCTCTCACGTTTACTTCATTTATCCATAGGAATTCCTATGCATTGTCCTATGCAATTATTGAAGGTTAGTTAAAGTTGAAAAATGAGAACTTGGAGAAAGCCATTGGTGGTAGGCAGTAGAGTAGCACAACAGAAATGGCTGAGAAGACTTTAAAAACTGAACGACTAAACATCGCCCTAGTTTTATTATTATCGTCCTTTGAAAATGGATACTTTGTTCTTCTCGTAATAGGTTCCTCTAGAATATGAGCGCAGAGTTGTAATGTAGGAATGGATTCTGAGATGTTCAGAACTGCTTATATTTTTGCTTATAAACCTCAATTAGAGTGTTGATATACGACTGCCGATTTGGTTGAAAGGTTATCAGCCTCTATGAATTATTCTACCTGATTCCTAGAAGTGGGTGCTACTTTGCCAATTGCTACCCAAGTTCATAGTTGGACAAATATGTGAGCAAGATGACACCTTAGAATAAAAGGAAAGGAGAACCACAAGGGATAAGATCAGGTAACTAAGGGGGTCCGCTTAGGTATATGACTAAGTGCATCTCAACCATCCATTCTCATTTAAATCTAATGGTTCTAGATAATCTAATTTAATGAAAGTTAATATAGTAATTACATGGATTTTTAATTTTCAATTATTAAATAATAAAAAGTTCTTCCAGGTTTCTGTCGCCCACTTCCTATCGGTCGAGAAATTTCCAATGTCCCCGAACTGTCTCTTCTCGCCGGCCAATGATCCGGCGTCCCGGGAATTTTCAGCGGCGGTCCATTTGTTGGGCAATTTTCCTCCTCCCATGAAACTCCCGAGAGCAAGGTTGTTAGCCCGGTTTGGCCCATTGACCAATTAAGTAAGTGGGTGGAGAGTTAATGGGTGATCGGATTAACCCGGTTTAACCTGGATTAGCCTGAACTTGTATGAGAAACTATGGAAAACCCCTATTTTATATATCGTATTTAGACATCAATTCAAATACTAAAAAACTAGTTAGGCTACTAAGTATATTTCTTAAATACAACGTGTGCTTTTAGAAAATGTGCTGGCACGCCTGCACTTTTATTGTTCTTCTTCTTGGGATAATTCCCAACGTCTGCCTCCGCCCGGGAATCGTTACAGCCGGGTTAACCGTCCGGGTTGGGCGGGTTTTGACCGGGTTAGAGCGGGTTTGTTTTTTCTGGGCTAACTGTTAAATGAGTGTATGGAACCCGTTTTAGTGTTCAGGTCCAGTTCAAACCGGGTCGACCCGTGAGTTGACAACCTTGCCAGAGAAAACTTTTCGGTCGATTCTTTCGGCGACGACGGAGGAGGCTTTCCAGCGACACAGACGGCGGAGGAGGATTTTCCGTTCGTGATGTTTGTCAACCTATTTTGTAATGTTTATAAGTCTAGTGTGTAATATTTATATAAATTTGGTTTGTATCATTTATCATTCTAGTTTGTAATTTTTGTCTATTGTGTTTGTAATATTTATATGAGTAATTTGTATATATTTTGATTTATAATTTTTGTTAGTCTAGTTTGTATACTTTATGTTATGATTTGTATATTTTGTATTCATTGATTTGTAATACAATTTTACCGATTTGTATTGTAAGTAGTGTTATTTTCTACTGTTAGTATGCTTTGTAATATTTTTTGGTTTATTTTGTAATTTTTGTAATGTTTGTGGGTTTTTTTTATAATACTTTTAAGTTTTGTAATTTTTGTCCACCATATTTGTCATTTTTTTCAATCATGTTTGTAATGTTATTTATGTTTAAAAAATAACCTCGTTGACTTTTGGATGGAACTCCTCCTCTATATAGAGATGGAGCCGGCAAAGTCAACCCGGATGTTTTTCCATTTTGGTTTGTCCGTCTAGTTTGTCATTTTTGTCAACCATGTTTGTAATGTTTGTATGGTAAAAAAACAACCGGGTTGACTTTGGGACGAAACCCCTCTACACAGGGATGGAGTCTCCAAAGTCAACCCGGTTGTTTTTTCATTTTGTATTGTTTGTCGGTCTAGTTTGTATTGTTTGTATAGTTTATATGTTTTGTATTCTTTGTAAATCTATTTGTATGTTTTGTTGTTTTAGTTTGTAATGTCTGTATATTTGTATTGTTTATACTGTTTATAAGTCCCGTTTGTATACTTCTTAAATTTTCATAATACCCAAAATACCCTGTCACTTATTAGAAAACCCTTCCCATTGTTTAACCATTATATTAAGGGTTAATAGTTAATACCTTATTTTGGCCCGAACTATGACCATATAATCAAATTTGGTCCGTGGTTTTAGAAATTAACATCCTGGCCTCAACTATACAACATATAGACTCAATTGGCCAGACGAGTGTTTTGACCGTCAATTTAGATGGTCAACACCGTTGACTTAACGATCAACGATCCAGCTCACTGCTATGTCAGCACCAAATTAAAAAAATTCAAATTATAAATTATTTTCATATTTTCTTTATATGATAAGATAATAAATAATAATAAAAAAATCAAACAATTTCCACCACTCAAATTTTCTCTCTCTCTCTCCCGTTGAATTCCCCTTTCTTTATCTCTTACAACAAAGGCGACCTTCCCTTTCTTTTTCCAAATCTAAATGCCTGAAAATTTGATTATATGGTCATAGTTCGAGCCAAAATAATGCATTGACCCTTCTATTAATGTGTTCGCCCGCAGGGGCATAGTTTCTCCTATCCTTCCTCGAACCACAACCTAACAAACGAATGAACGATATATGGGCCAGGGGAGCTACACCGTGCGGTACCTAATGGGGCAAGGCCGCGAGGATGAATTTTACAATGCTATATAGTATTGGTGCTATATGTTTTTGCCTTTATGGTACAACTTGAAATTGTGCATTTAACGTTATAGTACAATTTTAGATTATACCTATATCGTTTGTAGAAATTCTTTTATGATTCAACTTGAACTTGTACCTTTATATGATGACACCACTTAAAGTTGTAAAGTTCTACCATAATATAATGATACAATTTTTTTTATGGTACAATATAAATTTATACATTTCATGTTATGGTACAACTTTAAGTTGTACATTAAAACACTAATACTATATAGTATAGTAGAAATGTTCAGCCACGAGGGAGTTCGCATAGCTCAATTGTTGCCACCTGCCACTGCGATTATAAGTTATAACAAAGCTTCACATTCTTCCTTGCTCGTAATCCTCTTCTCCAGTTGCCGTCGGTCGCAAGTACGGTCTCTAATTCATCGCAGAACCTCCAACAAGCCATTAGAATCGCAGTTGAGGAGAGGACCTATCAAGAAATCCCAGACCTGAGTTCCTCAAGCATTCCCAGAAGAACCCAAATCCTTCCTCTTTTCTCTCCACTTCCCCGCTACAGGTCAGAACTCAATTTATCGACTGCATTTTGCAGTCCTTTCGCCCCTCTCAGGGTCCCGGTATCTCCGCAACACTGCTTACTTAGTATTACTTACGACTGTCTTCTCGCTTACACCCTTAAGAGTTCTGCACCACCCGTTTTCCCCTGACCTGCATCAGTCAACCCCTGAACATAGCTTTGCATGCCTTGTTATCGCGCAGGTTAGTTGAGATCCCATGGGCTGTATTTCACAAAATTTTCAGTCAAATCAGTCTGTATATTATCAATCTGTCCTTAGGAATAGGTTCATGCTGGAGTGTTCAATGAATTTGATGGTTGAGAACCTTCATCGTTGAGTGTCTGTTAAGCTGGGTTAACTAGATCAGAAATTTTCTGCCTAAGTTTTCGAATTGAAGCTAAAGGAAATATTTTTTTTTACTCATATTAATGACCCTCGATGATACATTTCCCTTCCGCTACTTCCAGTGACTTATTATAATACATGGGACTTGTAGTGTCCTTTTAATCGGTTACTTCATGATGTTATCTGGAAGGCGTATACATGTTCGCTAGATGCTTCGCTTGATGTTAGATGTAGATATCATCTTCTTCCTCCCTAGACAGGGAAATATGCATCCATGGCAATGCCACACTGACCACTTTCCTCCTCAACATCACGTTCCATTCTGATATACCCGTCTTCTCCCCAGGCAGCGCCCCATGAGTTCTTCACAATCCAGTACTTGGTGCCCTTTTCCACTCCATACCCAACTGCCGTGACTCCATGGTTGAGTTGAGATCCACAGGATCCAGTTAAAATGCCTTCAGAATACAGTTGAAATTCAATACCATTTGCATCGATTGCAACAGAGACGGGTTGTTCCGCAACGGCTGCTTGGAGGGCTGTCTCATTGTTACCAGGTACCATCCTGTAGCCGCTTATTTTTGCAGGATGATCTTTCAGTTTCATTTCGTCACAGCTGCCATCTTTACCCTTGTAGGGATAGTTCTTCTCCGTTGTAAGCCCCCCAACCTTCGCGATGAAATCGAATGCTGTATCCATGTACCCTCCATGGCAGCCCTCGTCTTCGCCACCGACATCACAGTCAATGAGCTCTTGCACTGAAAGAGTCAGCAGTTTGCCTGTTTGGATTTTGTGGAAGCCTTCCACAGCTGCCACAGCAGAGAATGCCCAACAGCTTCCTGTACAGAGAGGAAACAGCCAAAATTTTATCGTGTGCTGGTAAGAACTAGAGCCAGAAATTTGCTTAACTTGCCTTCAAGCCAATGCTATCTACGTTTTACCTATAGACCTAGGGGTTGATTCTTAGACTCTTTCATTCGTGTGTTTATGTTTAGGTCAATCTGGCACATTATAAATTAAGTTGGCAGTTGGTCTGTACTTGGTAGTATTATATTGATATAAGACTGTTAAGTAACATTCTTATTCAATATTTTTCTATACAATCCAGTATCGTTTGATTAGTGATCTAAGTATTTGCATCTCTGTGGTTCCATAAGATCTTATGATTAACGTTGCTTCTGGCTACTTGAAAGATGTGGGGAAGTAAGCGTAATAGGAAGAGGGAAAGAGAGCTTGATGCATACCACAGTGTCCTTGATCTTTGACCTTCGTAACAGCACCTTTCTTCCTCCAATCAACTTCAGCTGGCAAACGTCCACAAGAGTACTCAGCGTGCACCTTCTGGTCTGCGGTATCCAGAGGACGCCGAAGACCAAGGTGGGTCGATTTGAACTCGTCGTTGGTGAGGTCAGCAAACCTGTTGTCAGTCAGCTTGAAAGACAGATTCTGAGAATTGATGTGGTCGATGAGATGAACGTTAGACTGGTAGATCTGAAACCGGTGATTGTATTCAGCTTTGCTCCCGTACTTCCTGCGATGTTTGCTCAGCCATTGGCGATACCTCGTCTCCATGTCTTTCGGAGTATCGTGCCCTGAAGCCATGCTGACATGGGTGCTAATGCTCACGAGTAGAAGAAGAATGCAGGTAACCATCCTCAACACTGGTGCTGCTGGTGTCTCCATGGCGCTAGCGGTAGTTGAGTATGCAGATGCTGTAGAATTTGAGTTTGCAAATGTAGTCCGGAATGGTGGATCCTATATATACGGGCGGAGGGCAAGAAGGCAGCAGAGGAAGGAAGATCAGTCCCAGAAGGCATAGCTGCCATCTCTACATCTGCCTGCGTCATTCGAATTCCACAAGTTCGTTCGAGGGCCAGGTACCTTATTTAGATTCTGTAAGGCAGTGAGGTTATAATGTATCGTTGAAGGTGTTTTAGTTGTGTGGTTCTTTGCTGCTAATATTCTGTTTCGTTATTGCCAATTCTGACGGGGTAAGTCTTTCCGAGTTGGTTTCCAATCGACAGCAGAGAGCTTGTTGAGGTAATAGCTGTAACGGCTGTCGCACTAGGTATACGCCATAGCTGATGTCTTGAGGGGGAAAACTGTTGGGGCAGCATTGCTTGTGCAGGAACTGAATACCCCCAGTAGAAAGTGAGAGTCTTACACATCTGCCTATCCAGTAAGCAGGAAAGAATTTTTATTGTTGCATATGCTGCTGCTGCTGGGGTCATTTGTCATGTGCATAGGACGTGGAAATGGTCCACCTTTGAGTTGGCCACTTCTGGCATAGAAATCGGGAACGATAAGGAGAAAGCTATGAAGGAAATGGAATCCAACATCGGTAATTATAGGTGCTGGTGTTAGCGCATATATTTTAGCCCACACTATTGGCCCATGCAGAACCCTCGGTAATCATTGGGCCTTTATTGAGGGTGTACGTAAGAATAGGTTGGCCGAGTAGGGTTTTCTCCTAGCTTGGTAGTATATATTTGTAAGTTGTATCTCTTGGACGGGTTAAGGAATTACAGACGATAGCTCGGAGAGTGTTGAAACTCTCCCGTGGATTAGTCCTGAATATTTCAGGGATACCACGTAAATCTGTGTCTCATCGTATTTCGTTTCTATATCGATATGTCTAACATGGTATCAGAGCCATCTGCCGGCGATTCTGATCGCCTCGGTATTCGTCTTGATTCGAAGAACTATGCGGTGTGGGAATTTCAATTCCGCATCTTTGTTGAAGGCAAGGGTCTCCTCCCGATTCTTGAAGGAACATCTCCGCAACCGATTGTGCCTCCTGCTACTGAGCAGGCTTTGGAGCGTTGGAATATGAATAATGCTAGGGTGAAGACCTGGCTTTTGGGATCAATCGACCCTTCCATCATGCTGGGTCTCCGTTTGTTCACTACCGCCGCCGAGATGTGGACGCACCTCCGCGCAACCTACACCACGTCCAATACTGCTCGCCAGTTTGAGATTGAGACCGAATTGGCGGCGTTGAGGCAAGGTGACATGGATATTGCTACCTATTACAATACCTCGGTCAGACTTTGGACGGAGGAAGATCTTTTGTTAGCCTCCTTGCGGTCTGCCGCAATCTCTGAAGATGTTCGCGCCGAACGAAACCAATCCCGGCTGCTTCGGTTTCTGATGAAACTCCTACCTGAGTTTGAATCAGTTAGATCCTCCCTGCTCAACCGCGATGACCTCAAGTTTGATGGGGTTGTCGGCCGCCTCCTGCAAGAAGAAACCCGCCTCCGCACCCAAGAGAAACTCGACCTCCGACCTGGCGCCAGTGAAGCAGTGTTCTCGGTTGACACTCGAGCTGCTGAAGACCCCTCGCCTACGCTGCAACTCGGCCTCAATTTCAGCGGCGGCCTGCGTCAACGGAGCTGACCTGCAGCTTCTGTGATGAGAAAGGCCACGTGCAAAAGCACTGCAAGAAGCGCAATTTTTGCGTATATTGTAAGCGATCCGGCCATATAATCAGTGAGTGTCGGTCGCACCCTGCAACGCCGACAGCAATATGTGGCCTCTCCTGGTCGCACTGAGACCCCTCCATCTCGTCCTGCCGCAACCTCCTTTGCTGTCCAGCCGGTTGAGACCTCCGCTCCAGCCCTCTCTGTGGACATTGAGAAGCTCATTAACTCCGCCCTTCAAAACTCCCTGCCTGTTGCCATTAATTCTGCATTTGCTGCACTTCAAGTCTCAGGTAAAGCTAAACCTTGGCTCCTAGACTCTGCTTGTTTTAATCACATGACCAGTGATTCTATGTCTCTACGTCATGTTCAACCGGTTAATAATCTACAACTACAAGTGGCCAACGGGGCACATATCTCAGTTACAGGTGTTGGGTCTGTTCATCAGCCGCAAGTTAAATTGAATGATGTGCTTCATGTCCCTAAACTCCACCCTAATCTCGTTTCGGTGGGCCAGTTAATTGATGATAATTGCTCGGTTTTGTTCGCACCTTCTGGGTGTTTTGTGCAGGATCTGACGACGGGGAGGCTGATCGGAAGAGGGAGTAAGAAGGGTCGCACCTTTACATTGGAAGAGCTCTCGAGTCGAGGATGTCTATCTCCTTCTGAGTCATTGTCGGTTCCCCAGGTGTCTAGTGTGTCTTGTTCTATGCCTCTCTCGAGTCCTCCTGTTGTTTTTTCTAGTCAGTCGGATAGTACTTGGAATCTTTGGCACAATCGGTTAGGTCACCCAAACTCCAGTCGATTAAATTTGATGTTTAAACAGCAGTTGCTTGGTAATAAATCGGTTGTTTGCTCATCTGCATTGCCCTGTTCTAGTTGTGTTGAGGCAAAGGCCAAGAGTATATCATTTCCCTCCAGTAGCACGGTCATCACTGAACCATTTCATTTGATACACACTGATTTATGGGGCCCTTCTCCCATAACATCACGAAATGGTTACAAGTATTTTGCCCTTTTTATTGACCATGCTACGCGTTATACGTGGGTCTATTTTCTCCATCTCAAGTCTTACTTATATGCGGTGGCTACTGAGTTTTTGACCATGATTAGAACTCAATTTGGCAAAAATGTGAAGATCCTTAGATCTGATCCCGGCGGAGAATTTAGCTCAACTCCGTTGCTTACATACTACAAGGCGCATGGCATTCTGTGCCAAAAGTCATGCCCTGGAGTATCGCAACAGAATGGCGTAGTGGAGAGGAAAAATCGCCATTCCGTTGAGTTGACTCGTGCTCTCCTTATTGCCTCCTCCGTCCCTACTCGGTTTTGGCCCGAGGCAGTGTCTACTGCCATTCGTTTGATCAATTACCAAGTAACTCCTGTTTTAAACAACCAGAGTTCTCATTTTGCTCTTTATGGCACCCATCCTGACTATTCTCGTCTGCGTGTATTCGGGTGTTTGTGTTTTGTTCTTCTTCCCCGTCGTGAGCGTCATAAACTCTCTTCTAAAACTGTCCGTTGTGCTTTCCTTGGTTATAGTGACATTCACAAGGGTTATTTGTGTTATGACCCCTCTCTAGGTCGCATTCGTATAGCTTGTCATGTCGTCTTCTTCGAAAATGTCATGTTTATGAGTCATCTTCTTCCGAGTCAGTTTCCATCCTATTTTCCTCGACTCATTTGCCTTCTTTTGGTGATGACATTGATTATGATGGTGCTGAACTCCCTCCCGAGATGCCTCCCCCCACACCAACTTCGCCCATGCAGCTGGATTCCGCGCCAACCACGCCAGCCAGCGCCAGCTCCTCCTCGTCCGCGTTGTCCCCTGCTCCCTCCTCAGCATCGACCGCGCCGACCAGTTCTCCTGCATCGACCAGCTCTACCCCTTCCTCCGAGGCATCTTCACCACCTCCGCCTGCTGTCCCACGCCATTCCCGCCGAGCTAATTTCGGCCAGCCACCTGTTCGGTTTGGCGAATTTGTGGCCCATGCTGTCGACTCCATTGCCATTCCCACGCGGTACTCTCAGGCCAAGGGTAATCCGGACTGGGACGCCGCCATGACAGAAGAGTTTAATGCCCTCGATGCCAATCATACTTGGACGATAGTTGATCGTCCTCCACCAGAAGTTCCGGTTGTCGGCTGTCGTTGGTTATATAATCTCAAGTTCCACCCGGATGGGAGTCTTGAATGGCACAAAGCTCGGGTTGTGGCATAGGGATTCACCCAGGAGTACGGGATCGACTTTGATGAAACGTTTGCCCCAGTGGCCAAGATGCAAACGATCAGAGCCTTACTGGCGGTTGCTGCCCTACGCAACTGGCCGCTTTACCAGCTCGACATCAAAAATGCTTTTCTCCACGGTGACTTGAAGGAGGTGGTTTACATGGAGATTCCACCAGGCTATCCTCACGGCTCCCCAGGGCAGGTCTGTCTTCTTCATCGCTCCTTATATGGCTTGAAGCAAGCTCCGAGGGCTTGGTTCGAGAAATTTCAGCAAACTATTCTGAGTTTCGGGTTTCAGCAGAGTCAAAATGACCCATCATTATTCACCCAGTCGACTTCTCGTGGCCGTGTTGTCTTGCTGATTTATGTTGATGACATGATAGTCACGGGTGATGATGCTATTGGTATTGAGCAGCTAAAGGCTAATCTCGGGGCAGCTTTCAGTCTTAAAGATCTCGGTTCTCTTTCATACTTCCTTGGAATTGAAGTTCACAGGTCTGATCGTGGTATTCTTCTTAGCCAGCATAAGTATGTTAATGACCTCCTTGAGGAGCACCGCTTTGGCGATTGTATGCCGGTCCGTACTCCGATTGAGCTTAATCTTAAGCTGGGGACAAATTCTGGTGAACTGCTGGCCGATAGTCGAGTCTACCAGAGCATTGTGGGCAGTCTTATCTACCTTGTTGCTACTCGACCGGATATAGCTTATTCAGTGCAGCTGGTCAGCCAGTTCATGGCTGCTCCTTGTGTCGATCATATGGCTGCTATTCATCGGATTCTCCGATATCTTCAGGGGACGCGTGATGTTGGTTTGTTGCTTCCATCCTCTGGTGATTTATGCTTACGTGCTTACTCTGATTCTGCAGGCTGTATAGATACCCGCCGTTCCACGACTGGCTGGTGTGTTCAGTTAGGCGATGCCTTTATTTCGTGGAAATGTAAGAAGCAAGACAAGGTCTCCAAATCATCCACGGAGGCTGAATACCGTGCAATGTCTGATGCTGGGTCTGAGATGGAGTGGTTGCATCGTTTGCTGGGTGATCTTGGTGTTCACATTCCCTCTCCTATGGTCTTGCACGTGGATAACACCAGTGCAATTCAGATTGCTGTTAATCCCGTCCTTCACAACCGCACGAAGCACATTGAGGTTCACATTCACTATATTCGTGACCTTGTTCGTGCTGGTACGATACAACTACGCTATATTCCTACGGAAGATCAAGTGGCGGATTTGCTCACCAAGTCCTTTACTACGAGTCGTCACTGGTTTTTAGCTAGCAAATTGATGCTTCGAGATCAGCATCAATTTGGGGGAGGCTGTTAGCGCATATATTTTAGCCCACACTATTGGCCCATGTACATGCAGAACCCTCGGTAATCATTGGGCCTTTATTGAGGGTGTACGTAGGAATAGGTTGGCCGAGTAGGGTTTTCTCCTAGCTTGGTAGTATATATTTGTAAGTTGTATCTCTTGGACGGGTTAAGGAATTACAGACGATAGCTCGGAGAGTGTTGAAACTCTCCCGTGGATTAGTCCTGAATATTTCAGGGATACCACGTAAATCTGTGTCTCATCGTATTTCGTTTCTATATCGATATGTCTAACAGCTGGAAGGCATTAATTTGACCAATATATTTCTTTCATCGGAATTCAAAATTTTATGAACAGTAAAAATAGAATTCTCTTGCTATTAAAAATGCAATCCACTTT